TCCTCCTCCCCCAGTGCACACCCCGTCCTCCTCCCGTGGTGCACCCGGCCCACCCTCATCCTGTCCCCCTCCTTCTGCAGTGCCGCCCTCCCCGGAGCTGGTGAAGCGGGTCCGTGACCTGTACCACAAGCGCCTGCCTGACGTCCGCTTTCTCATCCCCGTGCTCAACGGTCTGGAGAAGGTAGGGCCCTGGGATGCCTGCCGCCTGGGTGGGGCCACGCAGCCAGCGTGCTGCCAGCAGCAGGAGTCGAGCCAGAGGCAAAACGAGAGAAAGGTGGGCTCACGCCCAGAAGCCCGACGCCCAGGTAGCAGGTCGCCCAATACACTGAGCCCTGCCTTGGCCTCCGACCTCAACAAGTCACTGAGCCTCTGTTTCCTCCTCTGTAAATGAGGACCCCTGCTGGTGCAGTGCTTAAGCGCTCATCTGCTAACAAAGGGTGGCGGTTGAACCCACCCAGCAACTCGGATAGAGATCTAGTGGCCTGCTGCCGTGAAGATGGCGGCCTGCAGAGCCCAGGAGGCAGTTCTGTCACCCGGGGTCATGCTGAGTGGGAACCGACTCGATGGCATTTAACGACAAAATGACGGTCACAGTGCCTCCCCCCAGTTGTCTGAGGTCTTGAGTAAAGCACGCAGTGAGCCCCTCCCCTTAAGCATGTTCTTCCCTGACCTGGTCTTGTCCCTAACAGGCTGCGGGGCCTTGTGTGAACCCGTGTCCCCAGCTGTAGTCAGCGAGCCCTGTGTGCGTGTGTGTACGTGGAGCGCTTCCCTGGCCCCGGGGACGTGCTGCCATGGAGCAGGTTGGGCCCTGGAGCGGAGGGCAAGACGCAGCGCTGTGGGACGGAGGGAGTGATGAGAACAGCAAGGCTTGCAGGGGTTTGAAGGCCCGATCCTGCCCCTCCACTCCCCAGGGCAGGTGGAGAGGGTGGCTCAGAGGGGAGGGGATATATCTGACCTCCCCCCTCCCCTCTCCCTGTAGAAAGAAGTGATCCAGGCCCTGCCCAAACTCATCAAACTCAACCCCATCGTGGTGAAAGAGGTCTTCAACCGCCTGCTGGGCACACAGCACGGTACGTGACACCCCTTGGCTCCCCCAGGTCTCCCCCGCCCTCCATCCCTGGCCACACAGGAGGCAGAGCTGGGAGTGCTGGGGGTGGTTGATGCGGTCTCTGGGGGCTGCCCCAATGCTGTGTCTGAACTTGTGCCCCAGAGCAGGCAGTCACTGTCCTGCCTTCTCCAAGTGCCTCCCTGTCCAGTACCCAGCTGTCCTTCAGGTCCTCAGCCCCAGGCTCCACCCCTGCTTTTCTGCAGGTCTTGCTCGAGCCCCTCAAACTGGGGGTGGGAGCATGTGGCTGACACAGGCTTTGGGCACAGTGAAAACAATGACAAAGTGAAACACTCAACTTAGAAACAGCCAAGTGAGACAGAAGGGGCTTCCCGCCCGCACCCAGCGGCTGCAGCAGGCAGGGTTGAGGCTGTCTAGAGTGTCACCCATAATCCAGTGATTTAAAAAAAAAAAAAAAGTACAAGTGTCAGAGAACACAGAATGGCAACATCCAAGTACCGTCTCCCCCAGCTTGCTGCCTCCAGGGGGCCACTCCACCCGGGCCCCTGGACTGTGCTGTCCCCCTGAATGCCCACAATCATATGTGCTGGCATGGGTCTGGGGGACCCAGTGGTGAGCCTGCCATCCTGGCCCAGCCCTCATGGGTGCACAGCCCAGTGGTGCGGAGGCAGAAAGGGTGTTAACATGCTCTGCATTGCTTTAACGAGGGTAGAACCCCTCATGGCCAGGGAGGGGACTGGCTGGAGGCCCTCAGCTGTCTGGGGAAGTCCTATCACCCTGTTCTCTAATGCTCACCATCACTCTCCCCATACTCTAATCCTTGGTCCAGAATCCTCTCTAAGCAAAGGGAGTCTAGTGTCACTCACTGCCCCCAAGCTGGGGAATTTGAACCCAGCTTTTCACTCAGCCGTCACGCTATCACCTCCCCGACCCCCATGTCACCTGCTGCAGGTGAAGGGAACTCGGCCTTGTCCCCCCTGAACCCCGGAGAGCTTCTGATTGCGTTACACAACATCGACACTGTGAAGTGCGACATGAAATCCATCATCAAAGGTGAGGCACTGTCTGCACGCCTGGCACCCACCTGCCCCTCTGGGCTCTGTCCCACTGGAGGGTGTGGCCCCTGCAGCCCCGGCCCCCTCAGCTCCAGAGAGCCCTCCTTGCCCTCCTTCCACGCTCCTTTGTCTCCTTTCTCCATCCAAGGAATGATGCCCCCTGCTGTGCACTGGCCCAGGGCAGCCCAGAGAAATGGGGGCGTACCCTCCTTGCCTAGCCCCAGCCCAAGGAACAGGGAGCTCACCCCATAGCTGAGTGGGCCCAGAGGCCCAGCCGGCCAGCCGAGTCAGTCAGGACTTGTCCCCGAGAGGAGGGCACCGGAGCACCTCTGGACCTAGAATAGAGTCTGAGGCCACCCTGGGTCTACAAGGACCGGGGCGGCCGACTCTGGCTGGTGCGTGACCACCACTGTAGCACCATTCACCAAGAGCTTACTCACAGCCAGTCTCTCCCCAAGTGCCCTGCAGGTCTGCTCCTGCTGAACCCTCACCATACACTGCCTGGTAAGTGTGACAACCAGGAAGCAGGTTCCAGAGAGGTTATGTAACTTGCCCAGAGTCACACAGCAGCTAAGTGGTATAGTGGAAAAATACAGATTCTGAAGTCAAGTGGAGGCAACTTAGAAGGTCAGGTCTCCCTGTCCTGCCCCCATGAAGCCCCAGGGTATTGCTCCTCAACTCCCTATACTCCCTCTTGGAGGGAGGCTTCAGTCCAGGGCCAGCCTTTCCCATGGAGGTGGAGGCCCCCACTGTTGCCCTCTCTACTGGTAGAAAACATCTTTGATCTTTCTCTCTTTGAAGAGAGCAGGCGGGAGAGCCCTCTCTGTTTCATGTTAGATCAGAGTGGTTTCTTCAGCTATTTGGTGACTAGCCTTCCTCAGTGCGTTCTTCCATGGACTGGGTTAAGGGCAAGAGAGGGACCCGCAGGGGGTGGGGGTCCAGTCCACATCAGGCTGAGAGGGAACACCATCACGTGGAAGAGCGGTAGGGTGAGGCCCGGCAGGTGGAAGGCGCTGTTGCAGGAGTGTGGTCTCTGAGGCACCCAGAGCCAGGTTAGGACCCCACTCCCAAGGACGAGGTGCCCACACCCCCAGTGCCCATTCATGGGCTTGCTCTAGAACCCCTGCTCTGCCCAGCACCCTGAGGTCTGTGGATGGGGAAAGGCTTGGAGAGAGGGCCTTGCTGCAGGTCACAAAGGCATGTTTCCCCACACACACACTCCCCATTAACCTCTCAAGGGTCAGGGGCCTTTCTTTCTGCCTCAATAAAGACGTCCTGGCCAACACACATGGCGAGTCGTGCTTGGGGAAGGGGTTCCAAGGCAGCTCTGAGGTTCCCCCATGAGCACAGTCGATCAGGGCACTGCCCAGCCTCCCAATACTGGGGTACCGCCACCCCCTCCTGAGGGGACAGGCCCCACGTCTGCCCTGGCCTGCTTGCTCAGGTGCTCTGTGGTGCCAGCCCTCCTTGGGCCCTTCCCTTCTGGCCCTGGGTGCCAAGCTGGGGTGCCCATCCTAGCCCAGGCCTGCTTCTCGCACTCACGATCTTCCATCTTCCCCCATGTCCCCATCACCCGGGCACAGCACAAGCCGCCTGCCACATGAGGACTGGGGAGTGGCAGGCCATCTCTCCTGTCCCTTGTGGGGCTCAAGGAAGTCATTAGCTAACTGCCTTCTCTGACTGGGGGTGGCGGCTGTCCCACCTCCATCAAGCCAGAACAGGTCTCTGGGGGTTGACAATGGCTTTTCGGGGGCCCCCCCCCCGGCCTTTGAGAGAGCTGCCCCACAAAGAGGGCCACGGTCTCCCCACTCTGCCTGGCATGGGGCTTCCCAGCAGCTGAGCCAGCACCCTGTTGGGGTGGCCTGTGCTGGGTGGGGGTGTCTTCATGTCTGGCCGGGAGCTTCAGGAAGTCGGGCCTCATGGGTGGGCCGCAGGGTGCATCTCTCAGAGGCCCTGGGCCACCACCTCGAGGGGCGGCTGGGCAGAGAGGACAGGCCCACTCTCGCCTCCTCAGCCACCAACCTGTGCTTTGCTGAGCGGAACGTGTACACATCGGAGGTGCTGGCTGTCGTGATGCAGCAGCTGATGGAGCAGAGCCCCCTGCCCATGCTGCTCATGAGGACCGTCATCCAGTCCCTGACCATGTACCCCCGCCTCGGGGGCTTCGTCATGAACATCCTGTCCCGCCTCATCATGAAGCAGGTAACTGCCCCGGTGCCAGGCGCAGGGCAGGCCCGTTCCGCTGTTCCCGCCCCGCCCCGCCCCGCCCCTCAACCCCAGCTCCTGCCGAGAGGAGACAGGGCCCAGGGTGTGGAGTGTGGACATGGACATGAATGCAGGGCGGGAGAGGTGCTCCACTCAGGCAGGCACCCAGGGAAGCATGGCTGCTCCCCGACCGTGCCCCTGGCCAGGATCCGAGTGCCTGAGGGCTGGCAGAGGCCAGGTTTGTCAGAGATGCAAGAAGTCTGGGTTTTCAGAAAGTACCACAGTGGCACAGAACGCAGACCCCCGTCCGGACTGGCCCCCAGGCTGCCACTAGCATCGGCACCAGGGTTACATGTGACCACAGACAGGCCAGGGCTCAGGGCTCAGTTGCACCCCTTGAACACCCGTGTGAGCCCAGACAAGTCCCCCCACGTTCCCAGGCCTTGTCTGTGTGACAGCCTAGTGCTGCTCCGAGAGCCAGCGGCGGCGGCCTCGCAGCACTTCTTGCACCCGGCCTGCTCTGACTCTTCCTCCCGCTCCGGCGCCTACAGAGGGAGAGGAAGCCGGCCAGAGGGAGGCAGGGAGGCTGCGGGCATCAGCGTCTGGGCCGGCAGGGCTCCGTCTCAGCAGTCTCCGCCCTCCTGTCCAGGTGTGGAAGTACCCCAAGGTGTGGGAGGGCTTCGTCAAGTGCTGCCAACGCACCAAGCCCCAGAGCTTCCAGGTCATTCTGCAGCTGCCGCCCCAGCAGCTGGCAGCCGTCTTTGACAAGTGCCCCGAGCTCCGTGAGCCCCTGCTGGCCCACGTCCGCTCCTTCACACCCCACCAGGTACCCCAGGGGTCTCGGGGACTGGCTGGGGCGGCCCTGCACTGCCACGGGTCCTGGCTCTGGGGTGCACAAGAGGTGTCCCCAGCCGCGCTCCCTACAGTCCTCGTCCTCTCCACCTGCTCCAGCAAGCTCACATCCCCAACTCCATCATGTCCATCTTGGAGGCCAGTGGCAAGCAGGAGCCTGAGGCCAAGGAGACACCTGTGGGGCCCCTGGAAGAGGTGAGGGTCCTGCAGCCACTGCCTCTGCCCCCAGCCACTGCCACCCCGGGACGCCCCTGTGGAGGGGGCAGCTGCCCCTGCTCCCTGGGCCACCCTGCTCCGGGCCTCGCTGCCCACCTGCAGCCCTGCTCCCTGTGCAGGGGCCCCGCTCTCCCACGGCTCCGCCCGCCCACCATCCTCAGCCCCCACCCACTCTGCGTGTCTGTGTGCCCCTCCCCACCCCCAGGACGACCTGGAGCCCCTGGCCCTGGCGCCGGCCCCGGCCCCCCGGCCGCCACAGGACCTCATCGGCCTGCGGCTGGCCCAGGAGAAGGCCCTGAAGCGGCAGCTGGAGGAGGAGCAGAAGCTGAAGCCCGGGGGAGTGGGGGCCCCCTCTTCCTCCGCCGCCCCCGCTTCCACAGCCCGGCCATGCCCTCCCCCACCCGAGGAGGGTATGGATTTTCGGGAGGAGGGGCCCGAGTGCGAGACCCCAGCCATCTTCATCAGCATGGACGACGACTCGGGGCTGACCGAGGCTGCGCTCCTGGACTCCAGCCTGGAGGGGCCCCTGCCCAAGGTAGGGACTGTCGCCGCAGGCGGCAAAGCAACGCACGAGCCCGGGCGCCGGGGCCCCGGCGCCCCGGGATGTGTGCGCTGGGAGTCTGCCGCTGATGGTCCCCTTTCGTATCTGTCACCAGGAGGGGGCAGCACCACCGGGCGGGCTGAGCGCAAAGGAGGAGCGGAGTCCCCAGGCTCTGGTTCCTGCCAGCGAGGACGCCGCCAAGACCCCCAGCCCGGCCGCGGCCGAGGAGGCCGGGGAGCCCGAGACCAAGGGGAACAGCTGACCTGGCGGGGAGGGGGAAGGGGGCGGGGCTTTGCCTTTCAAAAAATAAAAAAGTACGAGGGCGTCGGTGCCGCTTCCTCTCTGTGGGCCGCGTGCGGCCTGGAACCCCGCGTGCGGCGCGGCGCCTGCGCGGACGCCCTCCCCAGTAACGGCCCGCCCCCGCCCTGGTCCTTAGAAGCCCGCGACGCTAGCGCAGCGGCGGATCTGCAAGCCTTTTTTTCAAAACTCTTGCTTCCCCGTTCGAGCCATGGGGGACCCGCCTCCCAACCCTCAGCCCCCTTCCGAGCGGCCCACCCGCCGGAGGAGTTCCCAGGGCCCCGGCCCTGACCGGTGGCAGAGTTGGGACCCTGATTATTACCAGCCCTCGGTCGCGGAGGAGCAGCTGCAGATGCAGTACGACCCCCAGATGCTGAGAGAGCAGCAGGCGGGTCAGGAGCTCTGGGACCATCGGGCCAACCTGGCGCAGGGGCCCGAGGCCTTCCCGGCTCCGGAAGCCCAGATGCGGGGTGCGGCATACCCCGCAGGAAGCGCCAGCTACCCCCAGGAGTTCCAGCCCTACTCTTACAGGGATGAAAGCAGGGGCCAGGGCGCCGAGCGCAAGGCCAGTCCGCGGCTGCCCCTGGAGTCACCCTACCAGGACCCGCGGTCTGAGCTCTTGGACCAGTTCAGCCCCTACCAGAGGGAGGAGCTGCAGCTGGAGGGCACCCAGCACGGGCCCTACGTGAGGGACGACCCTGCCATCCACTACTCGCCCTCCGAGCTGGGCTTCGGGCCCTACGACGAGGAGGTGCCGGAACCGGAGCCGCGGGAGCTGGCCGTGCAGAACGCCAAGGCCTACCTGCTGCAGACCAGCTTCAAATGCGACCTCAGCCTGTGAGGAGGGCAGGGAGGGGCAGGGCTCGGGCGGGGAGGGCCCCGAGCCAAGACCCTCCCCCGGCTCTGGGCGCTCACCAGTCAGACACCACCTTCCCGGAGAACCAGCAACTGCTCTGGGGCGTCTCAGACCAGGAGTCGGGGAATAAACGCGGACAGTGCCTGGTTACAAACGAGAGCAGGCCCCAAGCGTCTTTAAGGCGAATTTGCAGGGAAATCAGCAGATACACATGGTTCTTACTTAGTTTTATTTTAGTGCAAGAAAAGGCTCAGTGGCTTTTCAGGATTTAAAAGCTGCACAGAGAGCAGGTGCTGAGGCAGGGGGTGGGTGGTTCACTCCTTTCACAGTGAGGGCGAATGTACGTAACATGAAAGGGCAGGTAGGAGTAAGCTGGGACTTCCTGGGCTAACAATACACAGAAACTGCCCTAACTCACTGCTACCATCTTGATTCCACTCATAGTGACCCCCATTGGGTATCCAAGGCTATCAGTCTTTATGGAAGCAGACTGCCTCACTGTTCTCTTGGAGGAGCAAGTGGATTTGAATCTCCAACCTCTTGGTCAGCAGCCAAATGCCTTAACCACTAGCGTGCCAGAGCTCCTAGTGTGCTAACGATAGCATTTATTTACCATGCCGCAGTGCCAGGCACTTGACACACCCATATCTGCTTCTCACAATACTGAGATTATCACTCCCCTGTTCCGTCTCACAGGGGAGGACGCTGACACAGAGGGGTTAGGGTGTTGGTCCAAGATCACACAGCTACGATGTGGCAGAGCAGGGATTCCAACACAAGTGGTCTGGCTCTTGAGGCCTTGTTCTTATCCACTAAGCGTCCCTGCCCGAGGGAGGAACTTGCTAAAGCTATTCAGCAGCAGTGACAGTACGCCTCTCGGCCCGTGACATCCTCTGAAGCTCACCTATTACTAGCAAAAAGGAAAATAAACATCGTGATAAGGGCTAAGGTGGAAACTAAGGGCCCGGGGGACAGGCAGTGAGTGTGTAACAGGGTGAGGTCGGAGATGGGGGAGGGGTGACATCTGATCAGAGACCTAAAAAGGAGGTGACGGAGAGTAACTTGTAGGTGTCTGGAGGAAGGGTGGTCAGGTCAGAGGCATAGCAAATGCCCAGGATTTGAGATTCCGTGTTTGAGCACCAGTGAGGAGGCTGGTGGGGCTGGAACCCGGGGAGCACAGGAAGTGGGAGGAGATGAGGTTGGAGGATGAGCACCCCATTCCCCCCCTCCTGCTCAGAACCTTCCGTGGCTCCCCTGTGCCCTGAGGACCAAGTACAGGCTCCTCACTCCAGCCTTCAAGGCCCTGCCCCTCTCCAAACTTCCGCTCTAGTCAGTACTTCCTACCTCAGATCCTAGAGTCCAGGCAAAATTAACCTCTTGTTTGCTGTTCCCCAACAGCTCCCAACCCTTGGGAGTTTCTGGGTCCTTTCCCAAAAAGCCCTGGCCAAAGCTGCCCCTGGCTCACCATTTCTTACCGTTACCAACTTCCTGGGTGGCCCCCCACTACACCCAGGACTGCTAACAAAGGGTGTCCACACGGCCCAGTTACGTATGTTGTTGTCCGGTGTGATCTAGTGGCTCTGACTCACAGCGATCCCATGCACAACAGAACGAAACACTGCCCGGCCCTGCGCCAGCCTCACAATCCTCGCTGTACCTGAGCCCATCGTTGCAGCCACGGTGTCGATCCATCTCCTTGTCGAGGGTCTCCCCTTTTTCACTGACCCTCCATTTAACCAAGCCTGACATCCTTCTCCAGGGAATGGTCCCCTCTGACAACATGACCAAAGCAGGTGAGATGAAGTCTGGCCATTCCTGCTTCCAAGGAGCCTTCCGGCCGCACTTCCTCCAGGACAGATGTTTGTCCTCTGGCAATCCACCGTGTTTTCAGTCTTCTTCACCAACACTACAATTCAAAGTCAGCAACTCTTCTTCAGTCTTCCTTATTCACTGTCCAGCTTTCATATGCGTATAAGGTGACTGCAAACACCATGGCTTGGAATAATAAAATAAGGTAAAATAAGTTAAAAAAAAAAAAAATGGCTTGAGTCAGGTGCACCTCTGTCTTTGAAGTGACATCTTTGCTCCTTGACACTTTAAGGAGGTTTTTTTGCAACAGATCTGCTCAGTCCAATATGTCATCTGATTTCTTGACTGTCGCTTCCATGGATCTGAGTAAAATGAAATCCCTGACAACTTCAATCTTATCTCCATTTAAGATGTTGCTTATTGGTGCAGTTGTAAGGATTTGTGTTTTCTTTATGTTAAAGTGTAATCCATAGTGAAATCTTTGATCTTCATTAGTAAGTGCTTCAAGTCATCTTCACTTTCAGGAAGCAAAGTGTGTCATCTGCATATTGCACACACGTTGTTAATGAGTCTTCCTCCAATCCTGATGTGCGTTCTTCTTCGTATAGTCCGGCTTCTTGGATTAGTTGCTCAGCGTCCCCACTGAATAAGCATGGTGAAAGGATACAACCCTGACGCACTCCCTTCCTGATTTTAAACCACATAGTATCGCCTTGTTCTGTTTCAATGAGAGCGCCTCTTGGTCTATGTACAGGTTCCTCATGAGCACAAGTAAATGTTCTGGAATTCCCATTCTTCACATTGCTATCTGTAATTTCTTATGATCCACATAGTCAAATGCCTTTGCATAGTCAAAAAACATAGGTAAACATCTTTCTGGTATTCTTTGCTTTCAGCCAAAATCCATCTGGCATCAGCAATGATATCCCTTGTTCCACGTCCTCTTCTGAATCCAGCTTAAATTTCTGGAAGTTCCATGTCAATATACTGCTCTAACCATTTTTGAATTATCTTCAGCAAAACTTTACTTGCATGTGATATTAATGAAATTGTTTGATAATTTCCACATTCTGCTGGATCACCTTTCTTCGGAATGGGCACATATATGGATCTCTTCTAATTCGTTGGCCAGGTAGCTGCCTTCCAAATTTCTTGGCATAAACAAGGAAGGGCTCCAGCACTGCATCCAATTGTTGAAGTATCTCAATGGGTATTCCATCAATTCCTGAAGCCTTGTTTTGCCAATTCCCTCAGTGCAGCTTGGACTTCTTCCTTCAATACCATTGGTTCTTGATCATATGCCACCTCTTGAAATGGTTGAACATCGACCGATTCTTTTTGGTCCAGTGACTCTGTGTATTCCTTCCATCTTCTTTTGGTGCTTCCTGCACCATTCAGTATTTTATCCATACAATCATTCAGTATTGCAATCCAAGGCTTGAATTTTTTTCTTCAGTTCTTTCAGCTTGACAAATGCTAAACATGTTATTTATTTATTTATTTTAAATTGTGATTTGGGTGAAAGTTTACAGAGTAAATTCACTTTCCATATAGCAGTTCACATACACGTTGTCTGATGACATTGACAGTTTACCCCAATGCAACAGCTCCCCTCCCACTTCCTCCCTATAGTTACCTCTTCCCTATGTCCATCCCTCCATGCACTCCTGCCCCCTGAGCTGTCTCCCTGTGCATAAGCAGCCCTTCTTTCTCCCAGGATTGTTCTCTCCAAGGAGAGTATCTACCTCAGGTACATGTTCAACTCTTATGCCTGTCTTGTTTGGCTGGAAGCCACAGGTGTGGGTTCAATTCCGGACCTGAAGAGCAGCTAGGGGCCATAGTGTCAGTGGTTCTACCAGGCTTTATCAGACCAGCAAACCTGGTCCCCTTTTTTTTCCCCCTCAAATGATTTTGAGTTTTGTTCCACATTGTTCTCCCTCTCTATCCAGGATCTCCTACATAGATCCCTCTCTAAGTGGTTGACAGTGGTACCCAGGCACCATCTAGTTCTTCTGGTCTTATAGTCGTATAGGTTGAGGATCACATGGTGTACCAGTCGCAAGGACTAATTGTTTCCATGAATCTTTGGTTTTCTTCATTCTTTGCTCTGGACAGAGAGAGACCCTTCGTTGCATCTAGATGGCTGCTTGCAAGCTTTTAAGATCCCAGTCGCTACTCGCCAAAGTAGGAGGTGGAACAATGTTTTGTGTAGTATGTTACACCAATTGAGCTTGGTGTCCCCTGTGACTGTGGTACCAAGCCAACAGGTTCAACTACTCAGTCCCTCTGGGTAGCTGGCTGTGACCAAGAAGTGACTACAACCTTGTCCCTTGTCAGCTCTACTATACCCCTGGGAGTTCTTACAGAACATACAAATACACTTGTAGAACCATTGTCTGCCAACCCTATACATAGTCTTGGGTACACTCCCTGCTGCATAGACATACCTAATAGTTCAGCCTGTCCACCCATCTATCCACCCGTATACCTGTGTTTGCCTTCACTGACAATGCAGTACTGTATGTGCAAAAAGGTTCATCTTTGTTGTCTGCACCTCCCATGTACCTCTCTCTGTCTTCCTCTTCCTCAATGCCACCATGTTGATCACTCACATTTGGTATACTGCCCTTCTCTTCACCCAAATCAGTACTTAACGTCTATCTATCTAACAGTGTTCCCTACCCTACCCTCCCACCCCTGTAACCAACAAAGAAAATTTCCTTCCATATATAAACCATTCCTTGACTTTTACAATAACAGGCTAATACAATATTTGTCCTTCTGTGATTGACTTATTTCACTCAGCATAACATTCTCCAAGTTCATCCACATTACGCGGTGTTTTGCAGATTCTACGTTATTCTTTGTTGTTGTTGTTATGTGCCATCGAGTCAGACCCGACTCATAGCGACCCCTCCTTGGGTTTCCGAGGCAGTATCACTACGGAAGCAGATTGCCCCATCTTCCTTCCGAGGAATGGCTGTTGGGTTTGAACCGCCAGCCTTCTGGTTAGCAGTCAAGTGCTTTAGGCACTATGCTACCAGAGCTCCTCCCACATTATTCTTTAGGGTTGCATAGTATTCTATTGTGCGTATGTACCACAGTTTGGTTATCCATTCCTCAGTTGATGGACACTTGGATTGTTTCCAACTTTTTTGCTATTGTAAATAGAGCTGCGATGAACATGGGTGTGCATATGTCTTTGCCTTTAGTGGCTGCTGTATAACTAGTCTTCCTTGTAGGTCTATGGATGGATATTATCCTATCACGGGCAGCACTGTACTTCAAGATAGATGATGAATGCAATATCTCCCTGTCTTGCTCTTCAATTTGTCACTCCCAGCATAGTAGATCATATGATTGTCTGATTCAAAATGGCCATATCAGTCCATTTCAGCTCACCAATGCCTAGGATGTTGATCTTTATGTGTTCCATTTCTTCTTTGACAACTTCCAAATTTCCTAGATTCATAGTACAACAAACTGACAGGTGAGGGGTGGAGGAGTTACATGCATATGCTTTGAAATCATGCCATCAAATCCTGGCTGTGCCACCACTGTGTGACCTCATGACTTGCAGAGTGGGGACCGTTAAGTGTCCCTTGGGTCAGTGGTTGTGGTGAGGACTTAGCATAGCCTGGTGCCCAGCACGGTGCCTGGCTCGGGTGGATGGAAGCCATTCTAACACTGTTTTCACTCCAGCCGCCTCTTCTCCCACAGGCCCAACACTCCCGCCACACTGACCTCACTGTTCCTCCACATCCCAGGCACATCCCCAATCATACCACCTGCAAACCATGACTGTTTTGTTTCTTCCTTCCTAATCCTTACACCTTTTCTTTCTTTTTCATGCCATATTGCATAGGCTGGGACCTCCAGTACAATGTGAAACACCAAACCCACTGCTATCCAGTCAATTCCAACTCACAGCTCCCCTAGAGAACAAAGTAGAACTGCCCTATAGGGTTTCCAAGACTGTCAGTCTTTTTGAAAGCCAACCCCAACCAAATCCATGGCAGATGAGTCGATTCTGACTCACAGCGCCCCTAGTGGACAGAGTGGAAATGCCCCACAGGTTTCCAAGGCTGTCAATCTTTACCAAAACAGACTGCCTCATATTTCTCCCATGGAGTGGCTGGTGGGTTTGAACCTCCAGCCTTCTGTAACCAACCTAATGCTTTAACCACTGTACCACCAGAGCTCCTTATACAGTGTTAAACAGAACTGGTGAAAGTGGGCATCTTCATTCCCAATCCCACAGGAGAAAATATTCAGTCTTTCACCATTATGCTTGGCATGTGTTATGGATTACAGTGTCTAAGGCATTTGGCTGCTAACCAGAAGGTTGGTGGTTCATACCCACCTGAACCTCCGTGGAAGGAAGACAGGACAATCTACTTCCGTAACGATTTATGGCCTCGGAAACCCAAGAGGGGTCGCTATGAGTCAACTCTGTTTTACAGGATTACAAAAATTACCTACTAGTCTAAATTACCTAGGGTAGGTTTTAAAAATTACTTACTATTCTTACCATTATTTGTTTTTAATCATGAATAGATGTTGACTGTTACCAACTTCTCTAGATCCAGTGAGGTTACATTGTTCTTGTCGGGTGTCCTCGACTTGCCACCAACTCACAGCGACCCCGTGCACAACCAAATGAAACACTGCCCAGTCCCATCCCAGCCTCACGATCCTTGCTGTACCTGAGCCCATCATTGCAGCCACTGTGTCAGTCCATCTCTTTAAAGGGCTTCCCCTTCTTCCTTGACCCTCCACTTTATAGAGCATGACATCCTTCTCCAGGAAATGGTCCTCCTTTAAGATATTAACATGATATTAACAGGATAAATCACATTTTCCTCTTTCCACTCAGTCCCGTCCTGCATCCCTGGCTGGCATCCGTCCAACTTGCTCATGATGTTTCATCCTTGTTAGAAACCGAAGGAGAAATTTAACCATTTGCTAACATTTTCCTTAGGGTATCTGCATCTATATATTCCTAAATGAAACAGGCATGGAATTATCTTCTCCTAGTACCCTTGTGTCTTGGTATCAGGATCATGTCCAATTCATAGACTGCCCCAGGACGTAGGCATCTGCCATGCCCTCTGCCCAATGCACTCTCTCCCCCAGCAGCTGCATGGTTTGCCCCCTCACGTCATTCAGATCTCTGCTTAAACGTCCCTAGGTGACACCTTCCCTGGCTTCCCTATTTAAAACTGCCAACTATCTCCTGTCCTTGAAACTCCCAGTCCCTGTTCCTGGCTTTATTGGTCTCCATAGCAATTACAGGAGTCTCTGGGTGGCACAAATGGTTAAGTGCTCGATGGCTAGCTGAAAGGCTGGCAGTGTGAACCCACCCAGAGTTGCACTGGAAGACTGGCCTGTGATCCGTTTCCAAAAGATCACGGCCTTGAAAACCCCCTAGGGAACAGACTCCATGGTAACTAACTAACAACAGCGATGACCAGCACTGCCCACTGACAGTCAGTGACCACCAGCAATGACCACTGGGATGGGTAAGTCCTGTCCAAGTTGATTTCTTACCCAAAGTGACCCCACGTGACAGGGCAGAACTGTTTTCTAGGCCGTAATCTTTACAGGAATAGATTGCCAGGCCTTTCTCACATGGAGCCCCTGGGTGGGTTCGAACCACCAACCTTCCGCTTAGCAGCCCAGCTCCTAACCATTTCACAACCAGGGCTCTGTCTCTGACGTACTACGGTTTGCGTATTTGATGACTATGCGTCTCACCCCTGAGAGTATCAGCTCCATCCGGGCAAAGGCTTTCTCTCCTTCCTGCTGTCGTCCCCCGCCCCGCGACAGTGAGCCCACTGAGCTTCCCCCCCCAATCCCCTACTGAGGCAGGTACGAGCATCTGGTGAATCTGCTGACCAAGATCTTGAACCAGCGGCCCGAGGATCCCCTGTCCATCCTGGAGCCACTGAACCGCACCACGCAGTGGGAGTGGTTCCACCCCAAGCCGGACACGCTGCGAGACGACCCCGAGATGCAGTCCACCTACGAGATGGCGGAGAAGCAGAAGGCGCTATTCATCCGGAGCAGTGGTGGTGCCGAAGGCGAACAGGAGATGGAGGAGGAAGTGGTGAGTGAGCCCGTGGACCGAACCCCGCGGTGGGACAAGGGGCGGCCTGCGCTGAGGCCTGGAGGTGAGGGAGACTGCGCATGATCGGAAACGTACCTGGAGGGCGGGGCCCCGCAGAGGCCTTGACTCCTAGAGGAGGGCTCCGGGCGCCATGGGAGGGTTTGAAGCAGAGGCAAGAGCAGGTCAGCTCTGCTTTTTACAAAGCTGACTCCGGTGGACACGTGGAAATGGAGGCTCCCCTCTCGCATCATCCCTCAGTTACCCCTTTCTCCAGAAAAAAACTCCCCTGCACACCTTTCCTGTGAAACTCACTGCCTCCTGACGTCTTGCGACATTGAGTCAATTGCTTGCTCTGTTTTCTGCTTTGTAAATTGAAGCTCGCTAAGAGTTCTTCTGTTGGGCAATCCTACTTCCGTAGTGATACTGCCTCGGAAACCCAAGGAGTGGTCGCTATGAGTCGGGGCCGACTCGGACGGCACATAACAACAACAAAGAGTTCTTCTACCCATGCATGGCCCGTTACAGTCTACCATCTTTAGAATATGCAGTTCTAGAATTCTGTGTTTACGGAATGGAGTGAGTGCTGAAAATTTGGCAAGGTGTTCTTTTTGTTTGTTTGTTAAATTTTATTATGATTTGGTTGAAAGTTTACAGAGCAAATTCATTTTCCATACAACAGTTCACATACACTTTGTCTCATGACATTGACTGTAATCTCCCACAATGCAACAGCTCCCCTCCCACTTCCTCCGGATAGTTACCTCTTCCCTGTGTCCTTCCCTCCATGCACTCCTGCCCCCTGAGCTATCTCCCTGTGCATACACAGCCCTTCTTTCTCCCAGGATTGTTCTCTCCAAGGAGTGTGTTTACCTAATGTAAATGTTCAGCTCATAGGCTTGTCGTTTGTTTGGCTGGAAGCCACAGGAGTGGGTTCAATTCCAGACCTGAAGGGCAGCTAGGGGCCATAGTCTCAGGGGTTCCACCAGGCTCTATCAGACCAGCAAACCTGGTCCCTTCTTCTTCTTTTTTTTTTTTTTTATGATTTTGAGTTTTGTTCCACATTGTTCTCCCACTCTGTCCAGGATCTCTCTGCCATTATTTAGAAGTTTGTTTTCCTCACACATCAGTCAAGTGTACGCTGTTTAGAGTCACCAGGTGGCTCCCCAGTGAAGAGGCACTGGGGGCTGTACTCCCCCTTCACCCCCCCATTCCCATCTCCCACCTCCCACCTCCCTCCCAGTCTTTAACCCAAACCCAGAGAGCAGTTTGCAGCATCATAGTAGCCTGGGTATAAAGCCCATCTCTGCCTAGGGCAGTCAGTAGGACTGCTTTGGGCTGTAAGCAACAGAAACAAAGGGGAAAAAAAAAACCAAATGCACTGCCTTCCAGTTGATTCCGACTCGTGGCGACCCCCTGTGTTGCACAGGAGAACTGCTCCCTAGAGTTTCGGTGGCTGTAATCTTCACAGAAGCAGATGACCTGGCCTTTTCTCCAGGTGCAACTGGGTGGGTTCGAACCACCAACCTTTAGGTTAGTAATCGAGCATAAACCGTCCGCACCACCCAGAGTCCTGAGGGCTTGGTTAAAATGGCCCAAGCAGTTCAGGTAGATGTTGAAGTTACCTCACTCGGCCAGAAGTCTGGTGACGACCAGTCAGAGTTGAAGCAGCTGTGTGAGGTACTGAAGAATCCTGGTTCCTTCCCCCACTTTGCTCTTCCTTCTTCATCCTGATGACTTTTGGCCCTTGAGGCAACCACTTCATGTTCAACAAATGGCTGCCGCTGCACCAGCCTTCAATGCCTATCTTCGCCCAGGGGCTTCTCTTGCATCTCACTGGAAGAACCAGGTCTGTGGCCATCCCTCAGAGCACAGGCGGCTGGGTTCCACAATGGTTTAGCTCCCTTCACTCTTAGAAAGCGTAGGAGCTCTGCTGGCATAGTGCCTAAGGCACTTGACTGCTAACCAGAAGGCTGGAGGTTCAAACCCACCAGCCACTCCTGGGAAGGAAGGTTGGGCAATCTACTTCCATAATGATACCGCCTCGGAAACCCAAGGAGGGGTTGCTATGAATCAAGTCGAGTCAAGTCAATGGCAGTGATTTTGGTTTGGGCTTTGCTCCTATAAAGACTGACAGCCTTGGAGACCCTGTGGGGCAGTTCCACTCTGTCCTCTAGGGGCGCTGTGGGTCAGAATCCCCTCCAGGCACTGGGTTTGGTTTGGGCTTTGCTTCTGTGAAGGTAGGAGCTCTGGTGGTGCAGTGCCTAAGGCACTTGACTGCTAACCAGAAGGCTGGCGGTTCAAACCCACCAGCCACTCCTCGGAAGGAAGGTTGGGCAATGGACTTCTGTAGTGACACTGCCTCAGAAACCCAAGGAGGGGTCGTTATGAGTTGGGTCCAACTCCAGGGCACATAACAACTCTTAGAAAAGGAACTCTGGAGTGGGGTAGTGCCGCTCTGTGGGGAGGAAGATGGGGCGATCTACTTCAGTAGATTTACAGCCTCCAAAACCCAATGGGGGTCATTCTGAGTCAGAACTGACTCAATGGCAGAGAGTTTGGTTTTTTGGATTTAACTCTGAAGAGTCTGCTTCCTTCCCCCTGCCCTCCCACCCCACCTTCCCCAGACAGATTCACCGGTGCCCAACATCATGGAGATGGCCTTCTACTTTGAGCAGGCAGGCATCGGCCTGGGCTCGGACGAGAGTTTCCGCATCTTCCTGGCCCTGAAGCAGCTGGTGGAGCAACAGCCTATCCTCACGTGTCGCTTCTGGGGCAAGATACTGGGCCTGAAGCGCAGCTACCTGGTGGCCGAGGTGGAATTCCGGGAGGGCGAGGAAGAAGGCGAGGAGGAGGACGTGGAGGAGGTGGCGGACCCCGGGGAGGTCACGGAGACGCACGGCGAGGAGGAAGGCGAGGAGGACGAGGAGAAGGCGGCCGACACGCTCCCCAAGTCCACGTGGAAGCCGCCCCCCGTGGTCCCCAAGGAGGAGAGCCGCACGGGCACCAACAAGTACCTGTACTTCGTGTGCAACGAGCCGGGCCGGCCCTGGACGCGGCTGCCGCACGTCACCCCGGCCCAGATCGTGCACGCGCGCAAGATCAAGAAGTTCCTCACCGGCCACCTGGACGCGCCCGTCGTCAGCTACCCCCCCTTCCCGGGCAACGAGGCCAACTACCTGCGCGCCCAGATCGCGCGCATCTCGGCCGCCACACACATCAGCCCGCTCGGCTTCTACCAGTTCGGCGAGGAGGAGGGCGACGAGGAGGAGGAGGGCGGCGCGGGCCGGGACTCGTTCGAGGAGAACCCGGACTTCGAGGGCATCCCCGTGCTCGAGCTGGTCGACTCCATGGCCAACTGGGTGCACCACACGCAGCACATCCTGCCGCAGGTGAGGGCCGGCCGCGGGGACCCTAGCCGTGCAAAGCCCAGGTGGCTGCCTCAGCTGGTCTCCTAATAATATAAGGAGGGGGTCCAGGATCGCAGTGGTTAAAGCGCTGGGCTGCCAAACTGCAGATCATTGGTTGGAACCCACCAGCAGCTCCATGGGAGAAAGCTGTGACCATGGGCTTCCCTAAAGATTATCCAGAACCCTACGGGGCAGTTCCACTCTGTCCTCTAGGGGCGCTGTGAGTCGGAATGGACTCCACCGCAGTGGATTTGGTTAGGGCTTTGCTCCCATAAAGACTGACAGCTTTGGAGACCCTGTGGTGCAGTTCCACTCTGTCCTCTGGGGGCGCTGTGAGTCGGAATGGACTCCAGGGCAGTGGGTTTGGTTTGGGCTTTGCTTCTGTGAAGACTGACAGCCTTGGAAACCCTGTGGGCAGTTCCACTCTGTCCTCTAGAGGCGCTGTGAGTTGGAATGGACTTGACCTCAGTGGATTTAGTTTGGGCTTTGCTCCTGTGAAGACTGACAGCCTTGGAAACCCTGTGGGGCAGTTCCACTCTGGCCTCTAGGGGCGCTGTGAGTCAGAATTGACTCCATGGGAGTGGGTGTGGTTTGAGCTTTGCTTCTATAAAGATTGACAGCCTTGGAAACCCTGGGGGGCAGTTCCACTCTGTCCTGTACAGTGGGGTTTTAATAATAATAATGTCGCTTGTTCTGTAGAGTTCCTGAGTAGCCAGAAGCGCTTGACTACTAGTCAAAAGGTTGGCGGTTCAAATCCTCCCAGAGGCGCCTGGAAAGACAGGCCTGCAGATGTGCTTCCGAAAGGTACCAGCCTAGGGAGCTGTGGAGCAGTTCTACTCTGCACACATGGGATCTCCAGGAGTCGGCATCCAGTGGAAGGCAGCTCAAAGCCACAGGCTAATAATTCTCTGCCAGGCTCTGAGTTAAATGATGTTCATTCATTCATTCATTCATTCATTTAACAGATAACTCTTTGACAAGCTCCTGCTAGAGATCTTTGGGGCCGGGTGCATTTTTGGAGTTCAGTATTCTTCAGATTTTCCAAAAGCAACAAGGTGGAACTGCCCCATCGGGTCTCCAACGCTGTCAATCTTTACTGGAGCAAAGCCCAAACCAAACGCGCAGCTGTTGAGTGTATTCCGAGTCACAGCGCCCCTAGAGGACAGAGTGGAACTGCACCAGAGGGCTTCCAAGGCTGGCATCTTTTTAAGCTGACTGCATCTTTCTCCTGCACAGCGGCTGGTGGGTTGGAACCACCAACCTTTCCATTAGCAGCCAAATGCTTAACCACCGCGACAGTGGGGCTTCTTCACACATTGTGTATTACGCAACACCCCAAGCAAGGGGCTGGAGTTGCAGTCTGCATTGAAGCGTATTCTTATCCCTCTGACAAAATACAGGAATAGCCTCTCATCAGTCCAGCTCAGGGGTGCTGCCAAAGGAATTATGAAGGGCAAAAAAGAAAGAAAGAAAAGAAGCATTTGGTTTTTAAAGCTTTTTGGATTTCAGCATTGTGGATAAGAGATTGTGGACCTGCATTTACTGAGTGCCTACTGTGTACCCAGACTCTATTTTATTTATTTATCCATTCCATGCAGCACCCACTGGGTGCTCATTCATTCATTCATTCCATCAACTTTTATTGACCCTACAGTGTCTTATTGAGAGCTGGGAGCAGCCATCGTTCCCATTTTACTGTTGATGGAATTGAAGTTGGCTTCATGTTAGGCACTTAGGAGCATTCATTCATTCATTCATCTATCCATTCATTCATTCCACAAACATTGATTGGCTCCTCAGTGTCTCCTGTAACCCACCAACAATCCAATGGGAGGTGCCCATGACACGCCCATCGCACAGATGAGCAGACCCAGGATCATATGGCCCACCCAGTGTCAGCTCCACGGGGGAGCTCTGGTGGTGCAGTGCCTAAGGCATCTGGCTGCTAACCAGAAGGCTGGCAGTTCAAACCCACCAGCCACTCCTCAGAAGGAAAACTGTGCAATCTACTTCCGTAGTGATACTGCCTCAGAAACCCAAGGAGGTGTCGCCATGAGTTGGAACTGACTCGACAGCAATGAGTTTGTTTTTATTTTCTTTTCCTCAAGGATGTATCCCCAACATCTAGGGTAGTGCTGGCATATAGTGTTGTTATGTGCTGTTGAGTCGGCCCCGACTCATAGCAACCCCTCCTTGGGTTTCCAAGGCAGTACCACTATGGAAGTGGATTGCCCAACCTTCCTTCCGAGGAGTGGCTGGTGGGTTTGAACCGCAGCCTTCTGGTTAGCAGTCAAATGCCTTAGGCACTGCACCACCAGAGCTCCTACCTTCACAGAAGCAAAGCCCAAACCAAACCCAGTGCCTGGAGGGGATTCTGACCCACAGCGCCCCTAGAGGACAGAATGGAACTGCACCACAGGGTCTCCAAGGCTGTCAGTCTTTATGGGAGCCAAGCCCAAACCAAAGTCCTGTCATTGACTTGACTTGACTCACAGTGATCCCTCCTTGGGTTTCCGAGGCAGTATCACTATGGAAGTGGATTGCCCAACCTTCCTTCCGAGCTGGCATATAGCATGTGCTCATTAATCAATAAATGAATGGATGCACAAGTGGGGGAAGGCCACTTTCCAGATGCCACGTGGGCATCAGGAAGCAAGAGTCCCCCCCATTTGTCAGTGCAACAGGGGCTCTCAGTCCCATCTCTCTCTGCACCTTCCTTAATGACTAACCTTGTCCCCAAGGACCCAGGTGTGCTCTGGAGCCCCACCTGGCCCTTCACCTCTCCCCAGGGCCCAGGCTGGGCTCTGGCCCTGCGGCATGCCCCCTGACCTGCTCCCTTCCTCCAGGGCCGCTGCACCTGGGTGAACCCTATGCAGAAGTCGGAGGAAGAGGAGGAGCTGGGAGAGGAGGAAGAGAAGGCAGATGAGGTGGAGCAGGAGGTGGAGCAGGAAGTCGGGCCCCCGCTGCTGACACCGCTGTCAGAAGATGCAGGTAAGGGGTTGGCCAGCGCGGTGGGGGCGGGGCCGGCGTGAGCTAGCCTGGCAGCAGCTCTCTGGCCCAGGTCTCTGAGGCTCGGTTTCCCCACCTGTGGCAAAGCCAGGTGGGTCAGGTGTGATTGCCTAGTGACAATATCAAACGCTGACTCTCCGCTAGGCCCTGGACTAAAGGAGTCATGTCTCCATTCATCCAAAAGTTACTTACTTGTAGACAATTGTTCTGGTTCCCTAGTGCTGCTCTGACAGGAATATACCACAAATGGGATGGTTGTAACAAACAGGAGTTTATTCTTACAATCTGGAGGCTTTAAGTCCAAGTTCAAAGTGCCAGGCTCTAGGGGCTGGGTGAAAGCCCCTCAACCTTGGGGTCCAGCTCTGCCTCCTGCTCCCGGCCCACTGGAGCTAGAGGCATTTCTTCACTCAGACAGCTGCTGGCTGCTGAGGCTGAGAAGCCCCAAGGTTGACAAGTAAAAAGGCACAGTCCCGATGATGTTACCAAACCACATGGCAGGCCATTAACTCAAGTCCATTGTAAGTCCCAAGGTCAGCAGAGCATGGCAGGCTGCTGAGCAACGACCCGGCTACATGCAGGGTCCAAGCATGCCATAGGCTAGAGACCATTCCCAAGGCTTCTCCTTATATACAGGAAGCAGACCACATCCCAAAGGCAGCTACTCAGCTGCTTGTGGTAGATCCCACCATGGAGTTGATTGCCAGTCTTATCATGGGGAATAACTACCACCAGCTTCCCAGCCACTCAACCAGGCCCAGCCAAGTTGACACACAAACATAACCGCCACAACAATACCTTGTCAGAAATGCCTGGAGCCTGTGTTGTTCTCATCTCTAAAATGGGTACCACAACTTGCCTCCGTCTCAGGGCAGCAGTAGCACGTTCATAGGGTATTGAACAGTGTCCTGCGAGTGGCAGTGGCTCAGGTGTGGGATGTGATCCTGCGAGACCCTGGTGGCCTTGAGTGGAGGGGTCATGGTGAGGGAGGCCTCCAGAGGTGGGCCTTGAGAAGTGTTCGGGATGACGCAGCGAGGATCTCCTGAGCGTGAGCCAGCCGGTGCCTGGAAGGAAGTGGAAAGAGAGGGTTCTGAACTGAGAATTCCGTGAGCTCAGCCCCTGCCTGTGGGCCCTGCCCTGCTACCTGGTCCAAACTGATGCGAACCTGGGTGCCGATCCGCGACCACCCCCTGTCTGGGAGTCGCACTGGCTGCCACATACTGTGGCAGGTACACATTATCACTGGGTCCTGGCCACCCTGTCGGGAAGGCGACAACAACGGTTCACAGGCGCAACCCGGTGAGATGAAGCCTGGCTGTGAGAGGTGGTCTGCAGCCAGGGTTCAGCACGTCCGTAGCGCCCGCAGTTCCGTGCCTGGCCCTGCTAACCCTCCCCGGTTGCCCGCCTCCCTTCCTTCTCTCCCGCGCCGCCCTCCAGGGGACTAGGGGAGGCAGGGCCCAGCAGGCTTCCTGAGCCCCTGGCCTCGCCGCCCCTCCGCCCGGCAGATATCTTGCACCTTTCACCCTGGACGGCCCGCCTGTCCAGCACACTGTCCTCGCAGTACTCCTTGGCGGTCGTGCGCTCCAATCTCTGGCCCGGCGCTTACACCTACGCCATTGGCAAGTATGTATCGGCCAGAGGGCAATTCACCAGGGCAGGCAGGGGGGTGGGAGGACCCCCTTCAGGAAGCTCCCGGGGTTGACACCCTCCTCAGTTCCCAATACCAAACCAAACTCACTGCCATCCAGTGGATTTGACTCATAAGACTCATAGCTCGCAGGGGCTCAAAAAAAAAAAAAAAAAATCGTTATTGCCAGTAA